TTAAGCCAGGCTTTACAAAGCCGGTGACCTAAAAATGGCGGACGTACATGAAAGAAAAACCGCCTAATCTTTTAATAGTCTCTCCGCCTCTCACACGCCTCCCTACACGTCGTCCCTGCGGGGTACAGTAATTAAACTCGGCTCCGAACATTAATATTTCCGTGAATATCTCTGGTGATATTATCTCCGTAGATAGTCGATTCATTGCTGCTCTACGGGCCAAATTATTCCTTTTTCGTCTCTGTTTTCAAAGATAATAGAACAGAAGAGCTTTTTTCCTTCGATCGCCTTCAGCCGCCATGCTTTTTTTCACCACGAGTTTAACTGATGAGCATGCGCACTTAATATTTCTCAAGTAGCTTCCGCATGGCGAACGGAGACGCGATTTAATTACTGTGCCCAGCAGGGACGACGTGTGGGGAGGCGGAGAGACTATAAAAAGATTAGGCGGTTTTTCTTTCATGTACGTCCGCCATTTTTAGGTCACCGGCTTTGTAAAGCCCGGCTTAATTCGTTGAGAATGCGCTCTAAATGTACTGAATGTACCTCTCTATATGAACTCAACATCACTGTAAAAAGATACCTTACGCAATCTGCTTAATACACATTAAAAGACCATAAAAACACAAGGTGAAAAAATAGACCAATTTGGACTTAAGATTGTAAGGCTCATTAACCTCCTCAAACACCTCAGGCTTCATTTAACCTGATCAATATTAAACTGTCAGTGCCTCTTAGTCTTACAGAAAAATACATCCAACACAGGGTACAGACTGTTAGACTCACATCCTAAACACTGAGCCAGCTTATAACTCAAGAAACCATCTTCAGTCACCTGTGAACACTACTAGTGTGTCTCCCACACATAAACCAAGGAATACAATCCGACCTCTAAATGGGCTTTTTAATGCTAAGTAATAAAAGACTAGATAAATGTTCAAATTGTGTTTTTGGACAACAAAGTTCCATTCTTTTTTATTCCTTTTTTCTCTTTTAATGAAAAATATTATGCTATCAAAACATCATTTCATACAATATCTTGGGGTACTGTGTGGAGAGGTTAATAAATAACAAACAAATAAAAAAACCAGGAAGTAGTTGATCTGATAACTGAGTAGCCAACCCACATAGTAAGGGCGTTGACCTAAAGATTACTTCCTGGAATTAATAACAGTTTTGTGCCATGGCCATTTTTAGAGCAGCAAAATACTCATAAAAATTACACTTAAAATAAAATGTTGTTACTCTCTAATACAACCATAGAACATCAGGTATTGATTGACCCATCTAAAAAAATATTTAGAAGTAATTTTTTATGTTTTTAATGACCCAGGCTACCATTATGTTATGTTGTGCAGGTTATTCTGATACAATTCAACATAACTTTTTTCCAAGGCTATGATTAACTACTTGTGGGATACATACAGATCTTTGTACTATACCAACATTGTATTGAAAATCAGTGATAGATTTATAAGCACTATTACAACATGGAAAATGTAAATACTTCTTTCGTCTCAACTGGTTACTGAACATTCTTTAGACTTAAATTTCGCCACTTTTAATCATCTATTCCTATTTGCATCATAAATGTGACAGATGTAAAGCACACAAATTAATATTCTACAAAATGTTTGGGGATCATGTCACTGATTTGTCACCAGGAATACCTGACCAAAAGCAGTCACTGTGGCAGTAAGGGCATGGTCAAAGCCAAGAGCTTCTCTGCATACATGTATAAATTATAATTTGGACAATCTGGTTGAAAACTAAGTAACAAACAATTGTGGATATTTCCATCCTCTATAATTAAGGCAAGAGAGTAATTTACAGGAACCCATTTCTACCTAGAACAGTTTTCAACTGGAACCAAATTGAGCCTTCAGGAGTCTATACATGTAGTTCGCCCACAATCTGTTGATCAACTCTTTAGCATTTACACACTATAAGCACCCGAACCACTCTCCCACCCATCATGTCTACTCCGCACAAGCCCTGCTATGTTAATCAATTCAGATTTAGATTCAAAATAAAGCTAAAAGTAACTTTCATGATTCAGTATTTTATTTTTACCACACGGGTAAGTGAATGTTGTTTACATATTGGAAGAAGCCTTACATTACCTTACATGTAGGTCCTAGGCAGCCTAGTTTAGTGTCTTGCTATATTTATCATAACGAAATTCACACGAAATACTAGCGTGTATACTGCCAAAGAGTTTGACCTTTTTCTAAAAAATTCAATCATATTTCAGGGTGTCACTGACAAATTTATTAACAGGGTAAATTAAAATAGCACATTAATGTACATGGACATGTACACTGATGTACAGTGTATCCCCAAGCTACAGTGTTAAAAAATGTGTGAAAAACGTAAAAATAACCTTACCTTTGATTAGATCCTTCTGCTTATAAATCTAAGACCAATCCGAACAATAAATTGGGATGATAGAATCCATGAGTAACAAGTAATTTTGAAGAAGTAGGTGGGAAAATGTCGAGTCATCTGGCATATTTATTGAAACGGCCTTGAGATATGACCTTTTTCGTACACAAAGGTCAAATCGTTGCCATCCTATATCTATTAAAGTAAACCATTGCCTTATAATGATGTCTATAAAGGATTCATTTGTCGTTTATTATTTCTAGAGATAAAAGCAGATTTCACATCTCTGGTAAACTGTATTTGCATTTCTTTTTATAAAAGGCAGCAAATTTTCACTTTATTTCACGAGAGGCGAATAGCCTCGTTTTCAATCCATCCACATTTGAAGGTTGGTAAATTTTAACACAGGCTGAGGGCAACTGCCGTTAAGGAAAGTTAACAGATGTATTTAGAGGTGCCCTCTAGCGGGGAATCCCAAAGCCCACGTTAAAATATGGCTTCACATTTTGAATCGAAGTGAATAATTGTGCTGCAAAGATGTGGAATTCACAGAGCTTTTACGGTATGATTGGAAATAACGTTTTCTTATGTTATGATACAGAGTCTGGTGCAATTATGTGTAACGGTATTTCATATATTTTGTGCTTTAATTATTTTAAGACTGTACACTACTACACTAGATCTTGGTGACACTAGTTAAATTAATGGTAACATGTACCGGGGTACAAGTTACACTCGTTTGTACAATGACACCCCCACCATCGGGATTAAATTGATTTTCCTTTAAATAATTTACACAATGAACAGTCTCTACTATTGGAGGAAAAAAAAGCTGTACTGGACCCAAAATATCATGTTTTGTTATTTTGATATTAAAATAATTATGACTTAAAATAACTTTGTAAATACTCCATATTGCACAAGATGGGGGTACCCCTTTCAGAACTCCTGCTACTATATACTTGTCTACTATATACTTGTCGACTTATTAATCTTCATTTTTTTAAAAAAGCATCAATAACCTTAATTTGTCTGTTAACATTTAGGTAAACTCTTGGATGGATGGGAGAAGTCGGAAACCAGGAATGGAGTTCCCTATTACATCAAGTAAGTATGTACTACCAGCTAGTATACATGCATATGCTGCTGTTTATGCTCACTCTTGTTATTCAGGGATTCTAGGGGTCAAGGTATTATAAGGTAATATACAGGGATGCAGTGGATGTTGACATGCCACTCTGACTGCCGTGCCCCTAGATCTCCTTTGAATCCTGAAACATCCCATAGTCTTCTAATGTTACCATGCTTTCGATAAGAAGTGATATATTTTTCTTAAAGGAACATCAAATACCTTAGAGCTCAGCCAAAAAGGTTTTATACCCCCCCCCCCCCAATCCCTTAACCAGATCCACCCTGAATCTCCCCCTGGTTCTGCTAGGGACAATATTTTAATGTGTTCTAGGTAGTTATTGGACAATTTAATAACTTATATCCAAATGTATTTTATATATCTTTAAGATATACATTTATGGTTTCATATGCTTTGTTATGCAGCAAAGCAAGATTTTTTTAATATACCCTCATGTTTTTTTTACATGCACAAAGTTTTCTGACTTACTCTTTTCTTTATCATTCCAGTCATAAAAGTGAGAGAACTCAATGGGACCATCCTTTCCTTAGCAAAACTTTGGAGGAGCTAGGTAAAACATCAGATCCTTTATAGACAACACAACTCAGCCTCGACTGTAGAATAGAAAGAGCTTTTCACCTTGTATTTATAACATTTCACACAATGCGTTTGGGAATTTGTGATTATAGTTTTATAGTGCAGTGAAATAATTGAATGTGACAGATGAGAATAACATATCTGTTTCCAGCTGAATTTGATGATGTCAGGTATGCAGCATACAGAACTGCCATGAAGCTGAGGTTTCTACAGAAAAGATTAAAGTGTAAGTGAACAGTACCTTTAATTATAAAAAGTATGGAAAAGGCCAGGAGATCATGTTTATTGTTACTAAAACAACATAACTTAAAGTGTATTTTAAGTTTTGTTAATAATACATTTTGCAAGTTTGGAGTGCTGATTAAAAAAAAAATTACTTGGCACACTTTAAAGCAAGGCCTAAATATATATACGCTGCTAGAATTTGCCAGGTAAGATATTATTTAACATTGACCATAAGCCAAGTGTATAATTTGCACCTAGCAGTAGAGAGAAATTCTTCATTTATCACATTGCTCCCTGCAGTTTTCATTTAGATATTTATAGAACGTAACAAAATATTGATGGACATGACATTTGCTATATATATATATATATATTTCAGTGGATCTCATCACTCTCCCTATGATAAGCAGGGCGTTTGATGACCATGGGTGGTCAAGCAGTCAGGACAGTGTGATCACCTGTGGAGAGCTGGAGACGGTCATCATGGATATCTTCTATAAAACAAGGAGAGGGAAGCCAGGCAGCCTTACCATTGAGCAGTCCACAGAAATACTCCTCAACTGGTTGCTCAACATGTATGACATGTAAGTACTAGTAGCTCAATATGTATGAAATATGACTTGTTACCTAGGCTTTCCTGAGAGAGCTGTCCAGCTGTCATTTGGATGGCCAGTAGTCTCAAAGGATGGCCTTTATTTCCAAAGATGGCTGGATGGCATATAAAATTTTGTGGAAATGACGGTTTGGTTGGTTGGGCTCTCTGTAAATCATTGACCAAATTGACTTGCTGAAATTGATATGAGATGTTCTAATTGTGGAAATGACATTAGTTGGAATACATGCTGTATTGCAGAACTTGCACTTGACCTTATTATAACAAGGAAAATATTTTATTTACATATCATGTGTTAATGTTTCAGACATAGGACAGGGTATGTCAGAGTCATTTCTGCAAAGATAGCCATGGTTGCTCTGTGTTCTGCAAGGCTGGCTGAGAAGTACAGATGTAAGTATGGAGCTGAATTCAAATCTCAAAATTTAGATTGGATGCATGATTTTCAAGAACACTTCTTACAAGCATAACAATATTTTTGTGGTCTCTTTGGGTATCATAGCAGCTTAAGATATCTTCATATAACATATAACATGTTAAGTAGCTACTTCAAAACATGTCATAGTTGTGAATTCAGCACAATATTCAATTGATTTTGTTTAAATTTTTATTTATTATTATTATTATTGTATTTTTTTTTCCAGATTTGTTTTCCCAACTCAGTGATTATGACAACACAATATCAAGGAAACATCTAGGACTGTTTCTGCATGACTTACTGCAGGTGATTGGTACACCCTCATATTAAACAGTTTTTTACCAGGCTGTGTTTTGACAGAGTGATCAGTCTATGTGTTATGTCATACCTGCAGTAGGATTTTTTTTTGTCTGTAGAAGTTACAAACATAAATCATAATGCATATTTTAACCCTTTGTGATCATTTCAGGTGGCTGAACTTTTGAATGAGTGTCTGCCATTTGGTGGAATGGCTGCAATAGGTGCTGCAATAGACAGTTGTTTCAGTATGGTGAGTTTAACATTTTGACTTGTTCTTGCCGTGGAAATTATCACCAGTATGAATAACATGTCAAGCAAGCTGTTTGAAGTCCTTAAACCTCCACAGTGCTTTGATAAATAATAAGTCTTTTTCTTCTCTGCTTTAAGTTACTGATATTTATATATATCAGGCATCACCTAGGTAGGGTCCATGACTGACCAGAGTTTGGTTAAAATTGCATGTGTAGAGATTTCAAAATATGCACTCAGTTCTACTAAGTGCTCATGTTTATCTATTGCTTTTTACGTATTCATTTTAAAAAATATTTTTTCATTATTTTTTGTGCACTTTGATTCTGTCATTAGTCTCGCAGTACCACTGGTGTAGAAGAGTTTTCCTTCCTGGACTGGATGTTACTTGAACCTCAGACACTGGTCTGGCTGCCTACAATGCATAGGATGGCTGCTGCAGAGTCAGGTAAGTCAAATAACATTATTTTGTGTCCCCTCCCTCCTTTACCCTTGCACACACACACATGCTCGCACGTATACACGCATGCACACACATACACACACTTTGCAATGGGGTTCCTTTTCCTCTCACTGGGCACTATTCTTTGTAGTCCCCGCAGGATTGTGCACTATTTGGTAATATTTACTTTGTTTGAACTTCTGATAAAGCCTCTCTTACTGTGTAAGACATCTGTATCATGTGCAGAAGAGCTGATAAGTCTCCTAGACATAAGCTTAATCCAGGATATCTTTATTATATATAAACCACAATATTAGATATTGGCAGTATATGTTGAGGGGCATATCTTTTCATAAACAGCTTTATTCATTTATTCTTCTCATTTCAGTTAAACATGAATCTAAGTGCAATATATGCAAGGAATACCCAATAATAGGATTTAGGTAATATATTCTTGTTTTGCTTTCAGTATGAAAAAGAATGTATTCATCTCATATTTAAGTTTTGAAATAGAATGTTTGCATATGTATATCTTTAGTGTAAAAAAACTCCAAGGGTTTTATTTATTAATTGACCAGAGAGTGCCATATATATTTAACAACTACAACAAAAAAAATTATAAATGAATAGCTAAAAAAGTAAAAAATTATAAATAGAACTAATATAAATCCGATCAAATTTGCTGCACTTGGAGTTAAGCAGCAATATGTGTTAACTGACCATACTTTTATATGTTAATTCCCCTGCCAATGATACAAGGGCACATTTCTTTACCCCTTTTCAATATTTACAGATACAGGTGCCTGAAATGTTTCAACTATGACCTATGTCAACAGTGCTTTCTGACAGGAAGAGTAGCCAAGAAGCACAAGCTAACACACCCTATTGAAGAGTACTGTTTAGCAGTGAGTGTCATTCTCTTTATATATCAGGCCTTATCAACAGTAAATTTGTGAGTTTTGTGGTTAATGTGGGTGTTAATGGGTAGTGCTTGTAAATGCTTAATCCATTTATAAGACCTGTATATTTAGCTGGGATTTATGAAGAAATTTGGACCTTTTTGCTCAAAGTCAAATAATGGTGTGAGTGGATGTGTTCACAATAAAACTAACATGTTAGGTAGTTCAAACTAACTCCACGAGGACTTTTGAGAATGCAATCAGATTAACCCACCTCCTCTTGTTTCCAATGTATTTGTATAGTCACCAGCCTTTCTGTACTCCACTCAACACAAGGAGGAGGCGTGTTAATCTTTTAATCTATTTGCATTCAGCGAGTCCCCACTAATACAAAGTTTCATTGTGTATGCCCCCTATGCTGTGCACAATAAGATAGGACATTTATGTTTTAAATTTTATCTTATATTTGACATTTTAAGTAAGTTTATATTAGTCCTGTCATGTTAAGGCATGCATTATCTTATCTTTTTTATGGTTGATTTTTGTCTTTATTTCTGATTTGTCGTCTTCAGACAACCTCCAAGGAAGACACTAAGGCATTTGTAAAGACTGTCAGGAACAACTTGAGTAAAAGACACCACAAGAAATACAAGCCACGGTATCTTCCTATTAGAGGGGATGGACAGCCCATGGAAGAGGACTTGTAAGTAGTAGCCACAGTATTGATTTTGTTTGATTATTTGTAGACAACCTTTATGTGAAGTTTTGTAGGTGGGACAAGATTTCCCTTTTGAAATATTTTGCAGTTTGATTTTTGAAATGTGTGCAAATTTTAGAGAGTGATATTTAAGTATAATTTTAAAGATTGCAATCATTATTGCAGGTTTTTCGTTGATTTGACAATTGTTTTACTTTAGATTGTTGTCTATAAAATTGAAGACCTTACTGCACTTCTCATTGCCTCATCAACAATCCTGACAGCATATTGCTTATTCAGATCTTGTATGGTTTTTGGCTTTCCTTTTTCCAGTACTGTCTCAACAAGTATTTGTTATAATTTAACTGTCCTTTAGCACTGATGCAGTACCAGAATCTGATGCTGACATGCACCAGCTATTACAGAGTGCAGCTAGGAAGCTGGCCCAGGCAGAGACACAGGCCCCACCAAGACAGTCCTCTAAGATGCTACAGACTGACATGACAACAGGACCAAAGCAGGTACTTGTTGAGGTTGAGGCAGGGAGTGAAAAAATTATGTTGATAGAAATCCAGAAGTACTTTTATCAATAGATTGAGAAATAAAGTGATACTTTCTATTTATTGTTAATAGTTTTCTTTAAGATATTGATAAAGCTTCTATAATTTTATTGATATGACATTGCTGATGAAGATTTTCAATATATAACTTGAAGAACTAAAAAGCTGCACTCTACATGCTTTATCATGAAAAAGAAGTTTGTTAAAAGATAGGTTCATAACAAGGTTGTTGGTTTTAATCTAAATTTGAATTCATTGTTGGCAATTTCAGCATAAAAGTGTTTTTTAAATATTTAAAAATTTGCCAAAAACACTGGAAGAGGAACACCTCTGCTATTTTTGTGTCAATGAAAATTATGCTTAAATTTTTTGATCAATCTTCTGCCAGCAGGTCACCCCTCCAAAAATGTACAGTATTGTTCCCAATGAGCAGCGGAGAGAACTAGACAGTATTATTCATCATTTAGAGGATGAAAATAGGTATGTGTTCTTTCCTGTATATAATATGAAGTTACAATACTATGCTGAAAAGATTAAAGATATATGCAGCATTTTATATTTATGTGGGTTGTAATTAGCACAAATCTAAATACTGCACCAGTTTTTAAGATTAACGTTCCTTTTTGAATCTTCACTGCATGTAACTGTGTTCTGCTCATGTAACCATGTAATCTGCATATGCTCACTGAAAAATGTCCAGAATGATTACTATATCTAAAATTCTTTGGGATCACATATCAGTTGTAAATATTGATGATCACCATTTTTTTTATTCTAGGGACCTTTTGCTGGAAATAGAAAGATTACACAACAGGTCCATGTCAGGTAACAGCAGCTCCACATTGACAGATGAACAGCAGCGAGTGGAGAGGGAGAAACTGGAAGCTAGGCAGGCCATACTGGAGGCACACAACAAACAGATGGAGAAACAGCTGACCAGGTTAAGAGCACTGATAGAGAAGGTAGGACTTGTTACATTGGTTGTTCAGAATGTTTTAATGCAAGTATTTCTTTTGTTTGTAGATATGAGTATGTTTTTGAAATGTAACAGATTACATTTTCTGTGACTTATGCAGTAAATGTGTAAATTCATAGGCCTGACTTGTTAGGCCTGACTCATTGTCCTGGGAGGGAAGTCAAATTAATCAGATGGTGTAGTAATTAGAGTAAATATATCAACTTGAGGATGGATTGTTTGGCTCGAAGAACCTAGTGAAAGGCAAACCACCAATGGATTTTTTTCACTATCATTATATTTCACACGTAAGAATCAGTCAAATTTATATTTACATTTGTAATTCCTGTTTGATTCCAGGAGTCCACAGCCCAGAGACAGCCACCTGTTTCTACCTCTCCTAGTAGGCCAACCCAGCCCAAGTCAGCAGTGCATGCTAACCCCCAGCCCCAGAGGAACATCCCTAGTTTTAACATCCAGTCCCCTGAGCCCAGTTATGACCAGTTAGTGGAAAGACTGACCATACTGGCAGGGTCTCAGGGGAAACCCATCCATGTGCCACGATTTGAGGGCCCTGTGGTGAGAACCTCCCAGGTACCACCTCCACAGTATACCCCACAGGGAGGAGGGAGGAACATGGCACAGCCAAGAGGACTTGGCCCAGAGCAGGAGCAAAATGTTCCCCCACAGAGAGACAGGTTTTCTGGTTTGACACTCCCGCAGCGACAGGCTGGTGCTCCACTTAGAGAAGTCAGTCAGAACACCATGCAGAATGTCATGACGCCCAGCATGTTGCCTAGCAACAACCACGACCTTGGCTTGACCCCATGGACACCAGGCAGAGATTTTACATTTGGAGACGACACTAGGCTGAGTCTGTCCTATTTGTCCCTGCCATCAGCTTCCAAGTCTCGCAACTTCCCAGAAGAGGAGGAGGAGCTGGAGGATATTATAAAGAGATTGGAGAGGGAATATCCAGCTGATATGTCTTTCTCATGTAAGTTCTNGTATATTTATGTGGGTTGTAATTAGCACAAATAGAAATACTGCACCAGCTTTTAAGATAAACGTTCCTTTTTGAATCTTCACTGCATGTAACTGTGTTCTCCTCATGTAACCATGTAATCTGCATATGCTCACTGAAAAATTGTCCAGAATGATTACTATATCTAAAATTCTTTGGGATCACATATCAGTTGTAAATATTGATGATCACCATTTTTTTTATTCTAGGGACCTTTTGCTGGAAATAGAAAGATTACACAACAGGTCCATGTCAGGTAACAGCAGCTCCACATTGACAGATGAACAGCAGCGAGTGGAGAGGGAGAAACTGGAAGCTAGGCAGGCCATACTGGAGGCACACAACAAACAGATGGAGAAACAGCTGACCAGGTTAAGAGCACTGATAGAGAAGGTAGGACTTGTTACATTGGTTGTTCAGAATGTTTAATTGCAAGTATTTCTTTTGTTTGTAGATATGAGTATGTTTTTGAAATGCAACAGATTACATTTTCTGTGGCTTATGCAGTGAATGTGTAAATTCATAGGCCTGACTCGTTAGGCCTGACTCATTGTCCTGGGAGGGAAGTCAAATTAATCAAATGGTGTAGTAATTAGAGTAAATATATCAACTTGAGGATGGATTGTTTGACTTGAAGAACCTAGTGAAAGGCAAACCACCAATGGATTTTTTTCATTATCATTATTTTTCACACGTAAGAATCAGTCAAATTTATATTTACATTTGTAATTCCTGTTTGATTCCAGGAGTCCACAGCCCAGAGACAGCCACCTGTTTCTACCTCTCCTAGTAGCCCAACCCAGCCTAAGTCAGCAGTGCCTGCAAACCCACAGTCCCAGAGGAACATCCCTAGTTTTAACATCCAGTCCCCTGAGCCCAGTTATGACCAGTTAGTGGAAAGACTGACCATACTGGCAGGGTCCCAGGGGAAACCTATCCATGTGCCACGATTTGAGGGCCCTGTGGTGAGAACCTCCCAGGTACCACCTCCACAGTATACCCCACAGGGAGGAGGGAGGAACATGGCACAGCCAAGAGGATTTGGCCCAGAGCAGGAGCAAAATGTTCCCCCACAGAGAGACAGGTTTTCTGGTTTGACACTCCCGCAGCGACAGACTGGTGCTCCACTTAGAGAAGTCAGTCAGAACACCATGCAGAATGTCAGGACGCCCAGCATGTTGCCTAGCAACAACCACGACCTTGGCTTGACCCCATGGACACCAGGCAGAGATTTTACATTTGGAGACGACACTAGGCTGAGTCCGTCCTATTTGTCCCTGCCATCAGCTTCCAAGTCTCGCAACTTCCCAGAAGAGGAGGAGGAGCTGGAGGATATTATAAAGAGATTGGAGAGGGAATATCCAGCTGATATGTCTTTCTCATGTAAGTTTTGTTGGTAGAGGTTGTAAATATTATATATTGACTTACAGGCAGTATTGTTAAAATAATCAATTTTTTGTTATTAAATTATTGAAAATTGTAAGCCTGATAAATACAAATTTGGTTCAAACATTAACTTGTATGTATAACATCTATTTTTCTCCAGCTTTATCCAGTTGATGTATGTGAATTTTCAAACTTAACATTGTTTGTTCATGGATTTGGTAGAAATCAATACAAAATGTCTTTAAAATATATTAAAATATTCGTTTTGGTTCTTAGTGAAAACCAGGTCTTAAAATATTTTCAGTGGTGAACAGGTCCCAAGGGATCAATGATGATATGCTGGCCGCAGCCAACAAGGTGGGCAGCACAATGACAGACTTTGTTGGGCAATGGGAAGAGGAAGACTGTTAGACAGAGTATAATATGCACTTCATATGACTCTTAAGCCTACCCTAAGGTTCAGTAGTCACTGGAGACTCGCCACTATTATCAGCATGCGTCTGCTATTACCAGTATGTCAGAGGCAGCATCCATTGATCTCTGAACTGCAGGGTGGTTCAGCCAGACTGTTGACAGAAAGTCAGAAGACCATGTACAGTCACAGGTCTTCCTGTAGAAGTTTACATGCCTACTTGTGCCTTTACTTGCTGTTCTTATATCATTTTCTTTTCGCATCATCTTCAATTTTCCCGTCCATTTGAATGTGCTTAAAGTACCTTTGATCAGTAACGTGGCAAATTATGTAGACTATTCTTTATTATTATTTTTTTTACTTAATTGGTAAAACAAGGTTCTAAGCAATATAACCCACAGGCTTCATTATCATTATTTAACATGTACACGTACATTGGACATGTACAGGTATCTTTGTATTTCAGCACCTAAGCAACATATTTTCAGTATTTTTCTACAAATTGAGATTGACAATATAATGGCAAAGGACAACTTTAATGAATGAGCACTTATTTGAAAGAAGTGGTGCTTCTCAAATGTCATGATATTGTAGTGTATGTATATAAGTATGAATATAAGATCTGCTTTTTGTTTGTATGCAAGTTTCTTTGCTTTTGGGGGGCTTGTTATTCAGGGCATTAACTTTTTTACATTGTGTGTGTATGCATAAAAAGCTTACAATTCTTTTTAGTATATTTTGTATTATGGAGATCTTTATTTGTAAAAAATAAAAAATACCTTTTTTTAAGTAGAACAAAGTAGTCTTTTTAGGCATATTTTTGTACTTATGTAATTTTTTTTTTTAATGTACTTGTGCAACCTTGCTGCAACTTTTTGAGCAAAACTTACAACTACTTATGAGGTAATGTTAATATTGTCTAGTGAAGATTTATCTGCTAATTGAACATCACTGAAGTGAAAGTCTAAACTGTCCAGTTTTTGCAGAAAGTGTTAATCTGATTCAGAGGTTATTACCATTCCCTATGGTTTCATTAAAAAGTAGCCAGTCATTTTGTTTTTACTCTGAATATCTGAATATATATATATATTCTCATAACTTATTTACTCAGCAGCTTGTTTAAAAGGAGAGAAGATGCAGCCACTGCGTGGATGTTTGAAAATCAAGTCCTGGTTCAGGTCCTTGAGTATATAACAGCTGCAGTAAGAATTGTTCTTTTGAAGAATATGCACCTTTTCATAATGCGAAAAGGAATGTGAGCAAAGCCACTGGATTTTATATAAAATCTTTAGTAATGGTGGAATGCCAGTGGATGTATTGGGATGTGTAAGACTTCATATTTCTTTTGAATAGTATTTAATTATCTGTTCCTGCTGCAAAGGGTGTCTCTTGAATTGGGAAACATGAAAAATTACACTTTTTGTAGCCAAATATTTTACATCCCACAGAAACTGTGCACCAAACTTTGCATCATAAATGGTGGAAATGGCACACAAGATGCCATTCATTTATAGTTCAGTGGAGTAGCATTTAATTAAAGATATCAGTTTGCCTTTGCACCAAGAATAGGGACACCCAGTAGTTTTAGGTACCAGGTTAATGTAGTGCAATCATGTCGGCTGAACAAACTAGTACACGTGTATGTGAGCATGTTAGTTATTACAGTTATACTTAATTAGTCAAGCTGATAATCAAAAGCTCTTCTAAAAAAAGATGGCAATAAAAATCTGATGATACAATCTTTGTTTATTTATGAATTTAACAGTGCAGATCACTTCATTTGTAACTTTATATATATATATATATATATATATATATATATATATAAACACACAAGCTAACAAACACAAGAAAAAATTAACGAATGAAATCAGTCTGTTTGGTCCATGTTTTTACTACGCCCTACAACTGTTTATACCAGAATGTCCTAATCAGGGATGCAAACAGATAAAAAATACGAAAAAAAAATATGGAACTTGAGTTGCCAACCAAGAGTACCTTGGCTCTACTGGTGGAAGAAAATGTCTTATTGACTTCCCCTGCCCAGGGACCTGCTGCACTGACACAGTAAGCAAATTGGATTTCTCACTACACCTTGCTTTTTTCTCGACTGAATTTTAAAACATCTGTATCTACTTGCCATTGTGCCTAAATGAAGAAAGCTTGACAATTTATATTTGTCATTTGCACTAATTTGAAGTGCAGGCGATATAGCCTATAAGTTACACAAGTTAGGTGAAAAAGGTGAAAATAAGAATCAATATTTTGAGTACGAGGTTGATACGACTGCACGAAATAAAAAGACTGAATGTTTTAGTTCTGAAGAAATAGCTGTTATAAAAATGCCCGCTTAAGAGTGCAGTTTGTCCTCTCCCTTCTCTGTTTTTTTTTTTTTTTTTTTTTTTTTTTGAATGTCAAGTAGAGGTCAGTGTCAGTTGCTCCATCGTTTTTGTTGTGACTAACTCTTTTGATATTTACATAACATAGCTTTCAGGCCCCAAGTTTCACAAAAAACAACAACAAAAAAAATTAAGTCAGTTCCATGGCATAGTAGAATAGGATGTCCATAATGGTGGTGTAACACTGTTCGTTATCCGCCTGATAGGGTAAGATGTGACGTCTGACCATGTAACGTTGGCGACAAAGATGATAGCCACTGGAACTGACTTAAGTTTTTTCTTTAAAAAAAAACCGGGGCTAGGTCTTTCCAGTACTGTTCTCTAGCTTCAGTATCCAATATCATTTTATCAATGACAGATTTACTGGGTATCTTTGTTTGTGTCCTGTTGTTACCTCGTGTTTTTTTCAGTGCTGATTTACTGTCTTTGTTGTTCATTGATTTTTGGTGTTCCGTTGTCCTTTCCACTATAGTTCTGTTATCCTTTCCACTGTTTCTCCAATGTGCACAACACCACAATTCAATTCTTATATCACTCCACATTTTTCCTCTTTTAAAATAGGGTTTTTATGACTCACTATGACATTTCTGATGGTTTGTCCCTTTTCACTCCAATCACTGACGTTATAATTTCAAATGTGCGTCGAAAGCGTTCAGGAACACCCTTTATGTAAGGAAGTACAATACACGGCGTGCTGTCTTCTTTTTAATAATGGTATTGGTCTTGTTGCTTGCGTCTTTGCGCTATTCCTCTATTTTCATCTTTTCTCAGGGTTCACTCTGAGAAGCTGCATTGTTTTAGTGCTCTTTCCTTTTTCCGCTGTTCTCTTCCCAATCAATGTCTCTACTCTGTACAATAGAAAATTTTCTATGTGCTGGATGTGAATTGCATTTTTAATACTTATGAGGTGTCTTGTGAGAAAATGAAATATTGGAGATTCTTAGAAAAAAAATGGACTGTATTCTGATGTGCGTGCGTGTGACGAGAAGTTCTTACACGATTTTCGTCATTTTACCCTTTCACCCTACAGCCGTTGCCCCTGAAAACTCACCAGGTGTATAAAATACAAATATTTATAGTTCTGTCGAACATTCCTTTAAAGACTCATTCAAGAACGGTCGCATTTTTCAAATGAGAAGGCCGTGCTTCTGGCGATCCTTAAGACGGATATTTCAGAATTTCTATCTGAATACATTTTTGTTTATACATAACTGTGAACGGTTAGCTGTAAAACTATTGCTAGAGAAACCCACTTTGCATATAATAATATTCCCTGCCTCTCCTCAAAGTTCATGTACAACGCTGCTCGTGCTCTCAGCAAGGGTTGTTGCCCGTCAAAGGAGGTTAAAGACATAATATAAAACGCCTGTGCGTGTTGGGATATAGAGTTTCAAAACAATTTTGCTCTTCTTTTCTTTCTTTCTTTTGCAATTATTCTCCAACAATTAATGCTTTTGATAGAACAGAAGTGACCAGAAGATCGAAGCAAGATGAAACGTCAATGTGATAGGTTTCATTCGGACCACGCCCTAAAGAGCGTGGGAGAAATAAAGCTTAGTATCAAACGGAAGAACTCCTGGTGATAAACGTCAAGATAGCGTTGGCTATGAAAGACATTATTTTATTACGGCTAAATATAAAAAAATCCAAGTCACCGTGGTAAAAATTACTAACGTATGAAGTCGGTTTGGTGGAAGGAGCTACATATAGGCCTACTGTACGACGGGAATCGGCGTCGGTTTTCTAATTAATTCTAAAAACATGATGCACGTATTTATGTGCACAGTTGAATGCTGCTACTGTTTTAGATCATGAAGTCAGCCACTTAATAGTTTAAAACATAGAAAACAAGAAATAAATACTAAAAACACAAAACATCATCGTTGGGCGCAAAAGTTAAAAAATAATGTGAGAAGAGAAGTTTGCAATTCTCTAGCTGGATCCCGTCGTTTTGTTACGCCTTTGATGTATGCGAAAACGTAAACAGTAGATTTCTGTTGTTGTTTAAGTGCAGTGGACGAGTCATTCAAATCGATAGTGAGGGGTCTGAAAACAATTTCAAAATACAGCTGGGAATGTTAATGCTAATGGAAAAATCATGGGTGTAAATTCTTTTGAAACAGGAGAAATAGATTTAAATGCGTCTCAGGTGACAAAATATTCAATCCTTTGGTTGTTTGCAACAAAATGTGACAAAAAAGCTTCATTTATAATCGCGACTTTTAAAAGATGTAACCGCATTATTGCAACGGCTGACGGGTAAACACCTTATCATTTTAGGGTTGAGGTTGCTGAGATGGGCTCAGCGGTTCTACATTTGAGTGGTGATGAAACGTGAGATGGATTCTGTCATTCAATATTCTGTAATGTGCTGGGTCAGTAAATCTGTCCGATCTGTCTTTTTCAGAAGTTACTACTTTGACCTGCTCCGACATAGCACCCATGCACAAAGATTCGTCGTTGCGTTTTTTCCATGTACCTACATTCAGGCCCATACAAGAGTTTGTGTGGGAAGCGCCTCTTAAAAGGGGGAACTATCGGCTTTGACAAAATGATTGCTTTGATAATAGGCTGCGCTCGCTGTATCTGTCACCGTCAAATTGTATGTAAACTTTTGTTCGCCGATGCTACACATGAAAACCTGTTACAGGTGGCATTGGTTTTTCTGCCGATACTCCGGGGATTTGTCAAGTCGTATCTCATTATAGAACTCCCAATGAGCGTATGTCCTCCGTAAATTGTCCCCGTCACCCCGGGGTAGCACAGAGCAGTATGACGTAAAAAGATTTTGTTCATGTTCGACGGCCGTCTGTTCATTTTAATGCTATTGTAACTCTTTCAATGAAGACAACTGGGGTGTATCGATTACTCACTGCTGTCAGAAGCTAACTGATTTCCTTTCATGTCAATATGAGAACTTAAGTTGAAAATTTTAATGCCCTCTCCGAGCGGAAGGTTCATGAAACGCATGCGTTAAGTTCAACCTAAGTTAGCGTCCAGCTTGTCACACGGGCGAACAGCAACTACGAAGAGCTCCGGCGTTCTTTGGTTGAAAGAACGTGCCAGCGTTCAAAATGCCCAGTTTTGATAAACTTCGCCTTACGCTTAGTAGTTGTGCCTCTTGCGGCAAAGGGGTAAGTTCATCTATCTTCACTTCAGTTGTTTCATAACCGCTTTTTTATTTGTCATTTTCACCACTTGTATATAAAGAAGTGTTAAGGCCAGTATTTTTTATCAAGTGAACGAGACATAGACAAATATTTGATAACTGCTGAATACATAGATAAACTCGAGGCTGCGGCTCGTAGTCGACTAGGGGAATGATAGCGACAACTGTTTTCAGTAAAATACTTATCTATAGACTAAGCACTATCCAACTTTTAAGTGTCAAGGTATATTTCGCTACCTACGGCTTGCGATTTTCTTGGTGTCTGTTACTGCTAAATGACGCGAGGATCAATGCGCTATTGTCTATGATCAGAGAAACAATAGGCAGGAGACCAAGTAAAACGGAATCGAACGTCGCACAATAAAGCAGCACTTATTTTCCGTCAATATTTCGACTGGGGTTGAGGACCGTGAGAAAGAGATTGCAACCGGAATTTCAGAGTATGAGCCAACCGAGATTGATTTCAATAAAATACGTACAGTAGGGCTTACACCTGGCGAAATTGCATCCATGCAGGGAGAATTTGCGTGCATGCGTGGTTTGTGTGTGTGTGTGTGCGCGCGCGCGCGCGCGTTTGCGTGGAGTTGACAACCCTTTGCTGTATCAGGCTGTTCATCAAAGTACATCTTTTTAACGGATGGAAATAGAATACGGGATGGTTTATATTAAAGACCATGTTAAACTCAGGGTAAGGACAACTCAACAAGTGTGCTTCATTCTCTCACGTGCCAGTCTATAGTGCAATAATAATGCTGGGGTTCTATGAGGCAGTGTTAAAAACTTAAAATACACCATGTCTGTTTGAAGAGGGCTTTAAAGACCTTGTTACAATTCATGTTAGATATATGCTACAAATACTTACTGCCCAGTCCACGGCACACGGCTGGTTTAACTTTTTTATCATTCTTTCCCAAAGAAAACAGAATCAAAAAGGCATCAAAGTTGGTAAACAGTTCCCCGGTCTGTAAGCGCCCCAGGCAGTATACCGCTGATCTTGGGGCTAGAAAAATCAACATGTTATTGATCTTACTATTACTTACTGCAATCTGCCATCTCTGATCCTTCTTCACTGCAGTAAATGGAAGTTCACAGCACTGATCGCAACACCTGCAAAATAAAATGAACTTTTTCACTCCCAAAATTACCAACACCGTGAGGATGGACACATCTCATGTAAGCGATCACGTCGTGTTTTAAGTACTATTGAACCGATATTTTCTTTGCGTGTCACAGCAATATAGGAAAAAGTATTATATTAATATTATTCTCTCTGTATGCGAAACTGGGCATTGATTTAAGACTTTCAGTTTCCTAATGCAGAAAAAATACCGCTCTGTTGGGTTATTGACTTGTGGGGTTGTTACCTCATCTTAATGTTAGAATTTCCATTATGGATGTTTATATTTGGTCCCAATTTATTCCTCGGCCATCAGTAAAAAAATTGCTCAAGTTTCAAGAAGCTTTGAAGAATGAAGTTCAAATTCATGCTGCTGGCGGTCGGATATATCTGTAAGGTTTAACATCCTGTTGCCGCAACAAATAAGATATTTTCCTCATGCTACAATAATAATGATAAAATCAATCTGAACAATAGTTTTTTTTTTCGAAGCTCGACGATGAAATCAAGGGCGATTTATGTCTAGCGTTCTTATATAACAGTTATATGACTATTAACACTATCTGGATATAAAATCAATATTGCCCCCCTCTCTCTGTGACTTCTGATCTGCTTGAAGTTAGTTTAAGTTAAGGCACGTGTAATGTGATATTGATTCGAAAAAGTACAGACCAATATATGGGAGACAGTGGAGAGACAGTAGACGACAACTGTCAACATTGGTCAGGTATCTGCTGATTAATCAATTCACTATTAGGTTAACATGTAAATAACCACTGATTGATATTACTATTGTTCATGTTATTTTTCTTGACTAAGTAATTAATGTGGCTTCGTAAAAGCCGGTTACGACGGCACTGTTATTTACAAAGAGATGTTGGACAATGAAAGGTGTTCAGCGTAATCATATTTGTAATTAGGCATAAAGGAAATGGTATCATTATACATTTGATATAACGCAGAGGCACCTTTTTTACCATGAGTGTAGACCTACTAAGTGTACTTTTACATGTAATCCCACAATCGTGGCCCAAAACATAAAGCTCGCCACATTCCACTACACTAGTATTTTCTTCACAGTCCATCAGCTCCGCCCTTTGTTGTGTTACCGAAATGGTTTTCTTTCAACCCGGGCCATTAAACATCCCACCTGTGCAAAATAAGTGCTGTGACTGTTAATGGAGTGCTGATTTTATATACCGTCTAGGGTACAAATAAAGCGTTATCTTGCATCCTACTGTAGATACCGTGAACAAGCCAAAAGTAACCGTATGCACAATAGTTGAAATATGCGGGAAATACAGATCTCACACTTTAACACAAAACCAAAGTGGACGTGAAGGTGACAATGATATCATGATAATCACATTCAAGAGGCCTAAACATGACAATGGGAATATTTTACCATCTCTGAGCAAGCGGATCTCTGATCCACTAATGAGGCACATTCTTATTCTCAAGTATATGTGCGCAGGTCCGAATACGCAGGGCCTTTCACGACTTGTTAATGTGTCGTTGATTTGGTTGATAAACTCTTTCGGCTGCCAGGAAATCTTGGGTGTTAAAGTTCAAAGTTTTTGTGGCATTTCAGTCGCACACTTGGTGTTTTTCCCCAATCCACCGCAGTGGCAAATGGCAACCACACTGGCAGCGATGTTTTTAAACATTTCAACAGGTCGTTGAAAAGGGGGCTCAACTTTTCTCTGGTGTGTTGTGCACATGTAGCATCAAGGTTACGCGCACTTTTAAGTTTATTTTACCACAAAACTGTACCTGTTTCCAACTGCTATCTAGGAGTCAACGGAAGTCTCGGNTCCCAAAGAAAACAGAATCAAAAAGGCATCAAAGTTGGTAAACAGTTCCCCGGTCTGTAAGCGCTCCAGGCAGTATACCGCTGATCTTGGGGCTAGAAAAATCAACATGTTATTGATCTTACTATTACTTACTGCAATCTGCCATCTCTGATCCTTCTTCACTGCAGTAAATGGAAGTTCACAGCACTGATCGCAACACCTGCAAAATAAAATGAACTTTTTCACTCCCAAAATTATCAACACCGTGAAGATGGACACATCTCATGTAAGCGATCACGTCGTGTTTTAAGTACTATTGAACCGATATTTTCTTTGCGTGTCACAGCAATATAGGAAAAAGTATTATATTAATATTATTCTCTCTGTATGCGAAACTGGGCATTGATTTAAGACTTTCAGTTTCCTAATGCAGAAAAAATACCGCTCTGTTGGGTTATTGACTTGTGGGGTTGTTACCTCATCTTAATCTTAGAATTTCCATTATGGATGTTTATATTTGGTCCCAATTTATTCCTCGGCCATCAGTAAAAAAATTGCGCAAGTTTCAAGAAGCTTTGAAGAATGCAGTTCAAAATTCATGCTGCTGGCGGTCGGATATATCTGTAAGGTTTAACATCCTGTTGCCGCAACAAATAACATATTTTCCTCATGCTACAATAATAATGATAAAATCAATCTGAACAATAGTTTTTTTTTTCGAAGCTCGACGATGAAATCAAGGGCGATTTATGTCTAGCGTTCTTATATAACAGTTATATGACTATTAACACTATCTGGATATAAAATCAATATTGCCCCTCTCTTTCTCTGTGATTTCTGATCTGCTTGAAGTGAGTTTAAGTTAAGGCACGTGTAATGTGATATTGATTCGAAAAAGTACAGACCAATATATGGGAGACAGTGGAGAGAGAGTAGACGACAACTGTCAACATTGGTCAGGTATCTGCTGATTAATCAATTCACTATTAGGTTAACATGTAAATAACCACTGATTGATATTACTATTGTTCATGTTATTTTTCTTGACTAAGTAATTAATGTGGCTTCGTAAAAGCCGGTTACGACGGCACTGTTATTTACAAAGAGATGTTGGACAATAAAAGGTGTTCAGCGTAATCATATTTGTAATTAGGCATAAAGGAAATGGTATCATTACACATTTGATATAACGCAGAGGCACCTTTTTTTACCATGAGTGTAGACCTACTAAGTGTACTTTTACATGTAATCCCACAATCGTGGTCCAAAACATAAAGCTCGCCACATTCCACTACACTAGTATTTTCTTCACAGTCCATCAGCTCCGCCCTTTGTTGTGTTACCGAAATGGTTTTCTTTCAACCCGGGCCATTAAACATCCCACCTGTGCAAAAATAAGTGCTGTGACTGTGAATGGAGTGCTGATTTTATATACCGTCTAGGATACAAATAAAGCGTTATCTTGCATCCTACTGTAGATACCGTGAACAAGCCAAAAGTAACCGTATGCACAATAGTTGAAATATGCGGGAAATACAGATCTCACACTTTAACACAAAACCAAAGTGGACGTGAAGGTGACAATGATATCATGATAATCACATTCAAGAGGCCTAAACATGACAATGGGAATATTTTACCATCCCTGGGCAAGCGAATCTCTGATCCACTAATGAGGCACATTCTTATTCTCAAGTACATGTGCGCAGGTCCGAGTACGCAGGGCCTTTCACGACTTGTTAATGTGTCGTTGATTTGGTTGATAAACTCTTTCGGCTGCCAGGAAATCTTGGGTGTTAAAGTTCAAAGTTTTTGTGGCATTTCAGTCGCACACTTGGTGTTTTTTTCCAATCCACCGCAGTGGCAAATGGCAACCACACTGGCAGCGATGTTTTTTAACATTTCAACAGGTCGTTGAAAAGGGGGCTCAACTTTTCTCTGGTGTGTTGTGCACATGTAGCATCAAGGTTACGCGCACTTTTAAGTTTATTTTACCACAAAACTGTACCTGTTTCCAACTGCTATCTAGGAGTCAACGGAAGTCTCGGTAGCTACATGTATTTCGATTATATTAGGTGAAAACACGTTGTCACAAGCTGAAAATTCTTCTAAAAATAAACCATTTGGCATTCGGTTTTATTAGCTACTAATGAACGTTGTATCTGCACTTCTAGGGCCTATCGTGGATTTAGTTGCTTTATTAAGCAATTAAACGACTAAAATTAACGTCCTTAGGTTTTTACAACCAAAATAATAGGCCCACATCTGTAGATTGCAACGCCATCCATCTACTAGAACACAGAACGTACGTGTTTAAGCACAGGGTCTGAAAGATGAATTCAGTATAAATTTATAGTACCATTTTCATCAACACAACCCATTTAAAACACTGTGCACACCCACCTGCGTACAATGCTAAGATGTTAAGCCTAGGTCCCAACCGAACGTGTGGTCTACGGCCAAAAAAATGGGGAAAACGTGTGAGTTCGTGCGTGAGGAGCACGTCCATCGTGCGACTTTTGGAGAACGCAAACAGCACGTAGAAACTTTTCGACATGATCACAACCGCTACGTGCGATCTAGCTACGTCCTAGCCGGACGCAAGGAACCTAGACCTAGGCTTTACATGACGTATTGCCTATTAATGTAATCGTATCAATAATGTAACGTGGAGATGGGATGGGGAATTTCCAGAATAGATAGTTTATGATCTTTAAGTATTGTAAAAAAGTGGCAATCGATTTAACCCTCTAAAATTTATGAACCTTGCGTATATAGCAGTTTCACGTTACATCATTTTCAGTCTCAGTGGTTAGTAAAACGTGTCTTACGAGGATTTACGCAATGTTGTGTTACTAATGTTAATGTTACTAATGTACTGAGCAATATGCATTGTCAAGGTTGTGGGAGTTGTTTACTGTACTATGTGGTACGTATCATGTGGGAATACAGAGGTTGCTTGCTTTTCAGCATCTTTTTTAATGTTTTTACATGCAAATATGTCGAGTGAAGCATGAACTAAAAACGCGCCCCATCTGGCGCCAATTGATCAATCTAAACGAAGGATTATTCTGTAATCGACTTCTTTTTAGAAAAACCAGTCGGACGCCAGCGCTGACACTAATGAAAATCTACGACATAATGGGAAACTAGAGAAAGTGGATTCCGAGGAATCTGAAGGCGACGAAAATAAGGAACGCGGGAACTGGACCCGTCAGCTTGACTTTTTCCTGTCCTGCGTTGGGTACGCTGTTGGCCTTGGCAACCTATGGAGGTTTCCATACGTCTGTATGAGAAATGGGGGAGGTGAGTGCATTTTCCCCCTGAAATTTGAATTCGCGAATAGTGCCCCAAAAGGAGAACACGTCAGGTTGATTATGGCAATTGGAAAAAAATGTATCCATCTGGAGACGTGCTATTGCGTCCTGATCAAATCTTTGTACCTTGATATTATTCTAGTAACATGACCTAAAATGTTACGACCCCACGCAGTTAACATATAGGTGTTGCCTTTTTACCTGTCACCGTAAGCAATTCTCCTTCCTCTCACTAACTTCTTACAAAATCCTTTTATAACCATTATTATTATTATTATTATTATTATTATTATTATTATT